TATTTAACAGCTGAAATACGGACATGTTCAAAAATGTCACAATAACAAGAAACGCCCTGTAACTCAGAAACAAGTGAAGATAGCAAATTTCTGATTTAACAGTCGACTTTGCCATGAAAATCGAGCTTGAGAAGGTCGTGTCAGATTGATCATATCTTTAGTAGTTTCTGAAATACCCCGAATTCCCATCGAAAATGGACCAGCTTCTACATATTGTTATCATATAAAAGTACCTTAAAAACTTTCATCGCCCATTTTAGCTTATAATATTTTTTTACATTTAATAATAAATTTCAGTGAAGAAAAATCTAGAAGTGTATTGTTAATGAAGACATTAAAAAAGAGCAGCTAGACAAGAAATATCTATCTCGTATAAATTTACAGTAAAATGTTAATTAGGTACTGAAGTTTAAATTACATTCTGGAAAACAAAATAGTGTGTTGTACAGCATTATCGCGCATTTGCATAAACAAACTCGAAAAACAAATTAATTTTATTTTGTTCCTAGTGTCTTATAAATCAGGTAGACAAGGATTAAAATGGTGTCATCGAAGCATGTTGATGATACGCAAATGGGTAGAGAAGGTACGTTGAATTTGTGTGTTGTATTCTCCAATGAAAAAAATAACGTCCAAATATCCTGAGTCACAACTTAAAACTTGGAATTTTCAATTATAGATGAGCAAACAAATAAAAGTCGGGTGTACCAAAGTTTATCATTATAAAATGATCTCGAAGACATTTATTAACAATTTGGGATGAAGGTTTCCAGCAGGCACAAAGGATAGTAAAATTAATTTCACTTGGAGCCACCATAAATTATTGTCTTAATAAAGTCTCCTGTTGTATTACTTTAATTAATTTCGTTTGCTTATGGTTATTACCCATATTCAACACACCCGAATGCAAAATTATAAAAGGTGTCGCACATACTTTTAAATTTGAAGGTCGTAGTTCTTAGTAACTAAACGAATTCACATTAGTTCTCATTTACATATTCTCCGCAAAAACCACTGGTGATAATTTTATTGAAAATCAATGAATAGTAATTGTAAGTATAAGCAATTCTTTTTTTTGTAAGTGACTATGATACGTACTGTCCTTCATACTGAATGATATCATAGTACACGAAGTTAGGTTAGTTAGGTGCTTTCAAAAAACAAACTGAAGAAGTTAAATATTTTCAGTTATCACGAAATACAGAATCTTCACAAATTATTACAAGCTATGCAGTAATTTTGTTTGAAACAGTAATTTTATTTTTTCACACTGGCAGTTAAATCTCGGTAAAATTAAAAATTATAATTGTTTAATAAATTGTAAAACGTATATGTATTACCTGTCTTCATTTCGAGTTCCGCCTAGAAAATAAGCCATTATAATAAAGGAGTAAACGGCACAATGCGTTCCGAAATAAAAATATTATTAACCTCAACTCAAAGTAGGTGTTGTTATTGCTACAACTTACCAGAAATTTTCCATCTCATTCTTCTTTCCCATCTTTATTTCATATTCAACGTTTTCAATACTATCAAATCTTTCAATTAGGTTGTTTACAGGGAGATCCTTAAAAAAAAGTGAAAAAAGTTTATTTGGAAATATCGATATTTTGTACACCCTATATAAAACACAGTATTCGCCTAAAATGGATTGAAGAATTGGCTCGTAATAGAGAAAATTTGAAATTTGAATATTTTTAATGAGGAAATATTTTTCTCTGACCTAGGCTAATGTTATGATAGAAGAAAGGGCCAGTAAATATACACACTTTCAATTCAAGAACTTTAACTGCGAGATGACGAACTAAGAGAGTGTTACATCATTCATTTTTTTTAAATTTGAATGACGTCGATTTATCCCGCACGTCCGATATTCCTTCAAATTTCCCTACAAGATTCTAGAATTAATTGAAGGTGACAGTTACACTATTCATTTCATTTACCAGATTAATGATTCTGGGGATTTGTTTTCGCCTCATAGATTAAGACCTCACTTGATAAGATTAAGAATATACTATCCGTTTCAGTGACGCATACCTACTTACTTGAACACGCAAGCATAAATTTTGGTAAAACTGATTAATTACCCTTTGTTTGTCGATATCTGGAAATGTACTGACATTGTTCGTCTGAGTTTCAGGTTTATTATATTCGTCGATCGTACATTTTATAAACGTAAGCCATATATTTTTATGACCTTATGTATACACCTGCTGTACTGTACGTACAACAAAGTGAAAAATCTCAAAAATTTATTCTTAACACCTCAGCATCCTTGGGTTTCTTTGAGGTAGCATACCTCCTACACGGCGACATTTATAAAACTCGCATTATCGTTAAATCAAATGTGCTTGGCTACAAGCTACAATCACCAGAAAAAAATATTTGTATTAGTTTTGCATAACGTTCCTTTTTTACTTCGACTTGAGGTAATTACTTGCGAGTAAATGTATATAAAAAAATATCTGCAATAAAATGAAATTGAGCATATATAATCTCAAAATATTGTTTAGTTCCGCAATTTATTATTTTACAACTCCCCAAAGTAAATTTCAAGGTTTGAAATTGCTGCGAGAATGATTATTTTGTCGTTAACTAGAATAGACTGACCCCGGAAATAGATTGTATTTGCAATATCGTAAGTGTTAATTTTGAATCCAACTCTTCTATTTGGGATGGCTAAAGTAAATAATGTAAAATGCTAAAATAAAATTTTATAAAAAAGTTATAAAAAACTAAATATGTTTATAATTAATACGAATTGTGCAAAAGTTAGTGGAGAGTTTTTACAGTAAATTTAATTTTTTATTAGTATATTTACACCACAGGTATTATGTTATGCTTTCTGTTTCCGTACATATTTGTTATACTTAGGTTTAGGTAATATCTATAACTATTATAACAAAACTAATCTGAACATATCTATCTAGATCAAATGTATTGGTTTTGAAATAGGTATAAGAAGTTATGTTTAAGTTTATATGATTTCTCATTTTGATATGTAGGTAATTAAATATTTATTGTCGGTAGGTACATTAATATTGAAATACTAAACATAATAAAATTTCTAACGTTAAGCAGATGTAAATGTGAAATAACAGTAAGTGTGTCGAATAAAAATCAAGTACGTACCTAAATTTTTACTAAAATTTTGGTTATATGGGTTATAGTGCACAGAAACATTTAAATAATACCTTTGTTTTGCCCATTGAGCAATTTGTAACATTGTCTTCTGCAAATACAAGAATGGTATTATTATTAGTGAAACAGTGAACAGTGCTGGGGATTTTTAAACTTATTATTATAGTTCATAGAGGAGCATATACAAGTACAGTTTTGTTTTGAATGAATGAAATTCAAAATTTTTTTAAAATAATTTTTAAATCTTTTTAATATAATTGTCACAAGCCATTTTTATAGTATATTTAAGTAAGAATGATAATCATACAGTTTTGGCTTTCCGTAAACTTTATCGATTCTCATCCTTTAGAAGGTCTATTATTTGTGTACACGGTGAGAAATATTTACGTGTAGGGGTTTTGATGCGAATATGTTTCATAAAGGCTAGATTATTTGTTATAAAAGTGTTGAATTAAATTATTCTTAACTGATCCACTGAGAGATATTATCACAATAATGTCATTAATACCAACTGATCAATAATAATTTTATAATTAATTTAAACTATGCCCGTCATTGGGTAATGCATTTTCTAAGCTGTAGTCATAATTCACTAACATATTAGTGACTAGCTAACTTTTTTTATAAAAACATAATGAACAAAGAATATAATCATACATATATATCTGTTCAGAAAATAACCGAACTTTTTGAATTACGTGCTACTGGAGATATTTAGTGATATGCAGTTGGCAGCATTGCGTTTCGCATAACCTCCTCTGTAACCACATATTCTTGGATTGCTGATATCTCGTTCAGTTTTTGTGATATTATACAACGTAAATGTGTTTAAGTGTTAGTGACAATTTTTGAAATGTATGATTTTCTGGAACAACTGAAACTGGAGAAAACTTTTGAAACAAGCTTACGGAGATGAGTAGGGTATTTTAGCCGGCAGGGAGTCTCCCCCCTCCACTTTCTGGCTTGGGATGACCTTGAGGCCGAAGGCCGATGACGTTGGTGTATGGATGACCTTGAGGCTGAAAGCCGAAAGTGACGTAGGTTGGTGACTTTCATTTGACTTTGGCATTGCTGTTAACCTTCAAATTAAATTTGAAATATGTCTATCGGTGTGGATAAGTATCTTATGAGGGTGTGACGACCTTGAGCTAGTTCAAAAGACGAAAAAATATCACATTATGTGACGTCATTCGATTGATTTGCCTTTAAACAGGGCATTTAACCTTGAAATTAAATAGTTGTTCTAATTTTGTGTATACATTGTGACGTGGTGCATTTGCAGTGTATTTTCAATATATGAGAGGAGATTAGAGTGAAGAATTACATTTCGTTTTGTCCAGCCCTGCAGTGAGTGTCTACAATAGTGTAAATTTTGTGTAAAAAAATTTTTTTAAGTGAGAACAATTATTATTGTATTTATTGCTAACTAGATATTACAGGGAATTATAATATAAAAATGGCATTATCAATTGATGAATTAAATAAAATAAATAGTAATATTAACGGTGAATTCAACGATATTATGCGAAGGTCAGTTTCCTCGTTGGAAATTGATACACAATATCCGATAAAAAAACTATCTTTTGTCAATACACGTTTTGGAAAGTCCATTTTAGCTATATTGTTTGATGAAAAGTGTAATTTAAATTTCAAGTGTTTTTTACCAAAGAGGGTTACAGAACACATAACAGAAGATATTTTGAATAAAATGAATTCCTCTTGGGAACAATATACGATAACTTATTTAGGTCAAAGTGAGCCTGCATTTAAAGATGGTAAATGTAAAGCGTTGTTAAAATTTGGAATTGTCATTTAATTTTTGTTTATTTAATTTAAATAAAAAAATATATATCTAGTAGTAACAAATATGTTTTATATATAGAGTATATTCTAGTCAATATAAGTAATTTACACTATTTAGTCAGTATAATAATATAAGGTGGCTTCTCTGTTAATGTTTTATAATTCCAATAGGTAATAAATAATTTTTTAATCTTATTACTATAATACCCGTTTTCATATTTTTTTTTTTTTATTTATAGAACAACTATTGAAAATGTGGATGCATTATGCTAGTCAAAATTGGACCGATGCTGAGGACCTCCAGTCAGCCGTAAAGAGATTGATGAACGAGCTAGATTGTGTGGCAATAGATTGTCTTCACGCATCTAATTATGACATGAATTACTGCTTCTCTGAAGAAAAAATTAAACAGTTGGAGGAGGATTATGAAAAACATCGCCGTGGTGCATCATTATGTAGTAATTATTTAAGTGAAAATATAAATTTGGATAATTTTTGTGTGAAAATGGTGGAGATAGGACTAAAACAATTTGTTATTTCTAATTTGTTGGATTATCTACCATATGCAACTGTTGTAAAATACAAATTAGCAGCTCAAGAAAATAATGCTGGTAATGAAGATGATATATAACATATCATTAAATTTTTATGTAATTTATATATTATCTTAAAATTGTATAATATTATATATCTAATATTAACAAATTTTATTGTATTAACTATTTGTCTATTATTGTAATGTGGAATAAACAACATAAATATAAATATATTTAAACTTTTATTGTTGTCTTATTTGTTAAATGAGAGGAGAAAAAAGTATATAAATAGCATAATTAACCTTGAAATGACATTTGTCTAATGTTAAATAGGAAGAAATGATACATGAGGAGATGACCTTCAGTTGACATATTTAAATGCTATTTTTAAATATTTCGTTATAGTGTGACATTAGCTCTAAGTTCATAAGTTTGTATCGAATTTATAGAATTCAGGATGTAAAAAGAGAAAAGAAATAAATATATATTAAAATAATAGTCAATATATAGTTCTACAAAGTGTTTGTTTGTAAATGATAATAATGCATAAATAAGTAACTATTACAATTCCTAAAATATTCTGCTGCCCTCATATGCCTGCCCTCGTATACATAGCCCTCCATTTAACGGATGAAACAAGAACTAACGAAACGATCAATAAAATAGCCACGCCTACTTAAAATGTCGCTTAAAATAAAATTCAAATATATAATATAACCTTCAAATAACACTAGAAGCGATCGATATTTTATAAACAACGCCTACACGGGAGAAATTCAAATATTTCATGGCCTTGAACGAATACCATACATTCAACGGACGAATCCAAATAATCAATTAGAGGAAAAACGCCCGAAAAGGTATATGACTAAATTAACCTTGAAACCATTAATAAATGTTTTTACCAAAATGATTTTTATTAACGC